AGAGTTGGCTCAGGCCGTCCTCAGCTTCAGAGATTCGTAGTTTCCTTGGCTTGGCGGACTACTACCGTCGTTTTGTGGAGGGGTTTTCCTCGATTGCAGCCCCTATGACTAGATTGACCCAGAAGGGTGCCCCATTTCTGGACAGAGAAGTGTGAGGCGAGCTTTCAGAAGCTCAAGACAGCTTTGACTACAGCCCCAATTTTGATATTGCCTACTAGTTCAGGGTCTTATACAGTTTATTATGATGCCTCACGGGTTGGCCTTGGAGCGGTGTTGATGCAGGACGGTAGGGTGATTTCCTACGCGTCCAGACAGTTGAAGATACATGAGAAGAATTACCCTGTCCACGACCTTGAGTTAGCTGCTATTGTTCATGCCTTGAAGATCTGGCGCCATTATTTGTACGGTGTGCCTTGTGAGATTTATACCGACCATCGGAGTTTGCAGCACTTGTTCAAGGAAAAGGATATAAATTTGCGCCAGAGGAGGTGGTTAGAGTTACTGAAGGATTATGATATTACTATTCTGTATCACCCGGGCAAGGCCAATGTGGTGGCTGATGCCTTGAGTCGCCAGGCGGAGTGTTTGGGGAGTTTGGCATATTTACTGGCTTCAGAGAGGCATATGGCGATGGATGTTCAGGCCTTAGCCAGTTGGTTTGTGAGATCGAATCTTTCGGAGCCCAGTCGGGTCCTAGCTTGCGTGGTTTCTCGATCTTCTTTATTCGATCGTATCAGGGAGCGGCAGTATGATGACCCTCATCTACCTATCCTCAAGGACAAGGTTCAGCACGGTGATGCTAGAGATGTGACCATTGGAGATGACGGGTATTAAGGATGCAGGGTCGGGTTTGTGTGCCCAATGTTGATGGGCTTCGGGAGTTGATCTTAGCGGAGGCCCATAGTTCGCGGTATTCCATCCATCCGGGTGCCGCAAAGATGTATCAGGATCTGAGGCAGCACTATTGGTGGAGGCGGATGAAGAAGGATATAGTTGGATATGTAGCTAGGTGCCTCAACTGTCAGCAGGTGAAGTATGAGCACCAGAGACCGGGTGGGTTGCTTCAGCAGATAGAGATTCCGGAGTGGAAATGGGAGCGCATCACCATGGACTTTGTATTTGGACTCCCACGGACCTTGAATAGTTTGATGCCATTTGGGTTATTGTGGATCGGCTGACCAAGTCCGCTCATTTCATTCCTGTATGTACCACTTATTCATCGGAGCGGTTGGCAGAGATTTATATCCGGGAGATCGTTCGTCTGCATGGTATTCCAGCTTCTATCATTTCAGACAGAGGTACTCAGTTTACATCACGGTTTTGGAGGGCCGTTAAGCAGGAGTTGGGTACTCGGGTAGAGTTGAGCACAACATTTCACCCCAGACGGACGGACAATCCGAGCGCACTATTCAGATTCTTGAGGATATGCTCCGTGCGTGCGTGATTGAGTTTGGTGGGTCTTGGGATCAGTTCTTGCCATTGGTGGAGTTTGCTTACGACAACAGTTATCAGTCCAGCATTCAGATGGCGTCGTATGAGGCTTTATATGGTAGGAGATGCAGGTCTCCGGTGGTTGGTTTGAGCCGGGTGAGGCCAGGCTACTAGGCACAGAGTTGGTTCAGGATGCATTGGAGAAGGTCAAGGTGATTCAGGATAGACTCCGTACAGCCCAGTCCAGACAGAAGAGTTACGCGGACAGGAAGGTTCGTGATGTTTCATATATGGTCGGGGAGCGGGTTCTGCTTCGGATTTCGCCTATGAAGGGCGTTATGAGATTTGGAAGAAAGGGAAGTTGAGTCCGAGGTTTATTGGCCCTTTTGAGATATTGAGACGTGTTGGGGAGGTTGCTTATGAGCTTGCCTTTCCTCCCAACTTGGCGGGAGTTCATCCGGTATTTCATGTTTCGATGCTCCGGAGGTATCACACTGACCCGTCGCACGTGTTGGATTTCAATTCAGTCCAGCTGGGCAAGGATCTATCTTATGTTGAGGAGCCGGCAGCTATATTGGACAGGCAGGTCAGAATGTTGAGGTCAAAGAACATTGCTTCAGTGATGGTTCAGTGGCGGGGTCAGCCGGTCAAGGAGGCGGCCTGGGAGACCGAGCAGGATATGCGCAGCCAGTACCCTCATCTTTTCACTACTTCATGTATGTTCTCTATGCTCGTCCGAGGACGAACGAATGCTTAAGTGTGGGAGGATGTAACGACCCGGCCTGTCGTTTTTGGAATTTATGCCCCGATTCCCTAGTAACTACTTTCATTTCTGCTATTTTGATTTGCCGGGATGTTCGGTTTTGAGTTTCGGAGAGTTTTGGACACATAGTCCCTAAAGGAGAGCTTAAGATGGTCCATAGTCAGAATAGTGTGAAGATGGCCTCAGAATGGAAATTCGATGGTTCCGTTAGCTCCGTTAGGTGATTTCGGGGTTAGGAGCGTGTTCGGAATGTGTTTTGGAAGTCCGTAGTTGATTTAGGCTTGAAATGCCGAAGTTTCACTTTTTGAAGTCTCCGGTCCGATAGTGAGATTTTGATCCGAGGGTCGGAATGGAGTTCCGGAAGTTGCAGTAGCTCGGTCATGTCATTTGGGATGTGTGTGTAAGATTTCAGGTCATTTGGACGAGGTTTAGTTAGGTTTTTGATCGAAAGCGTTTTTTGTTAGAATTTGAAGTTCTTAGGCTTAAATCATTGATTAATTCGAGTTTCCGATGTTGTTTTAGGTGGTTTAAGGGTTGGTACAAGTTTGAATGATGTTATGGGATATGTCCGTAGGTTTGATTGAGGTCTCGGGGACCTCGGGTGTGTTTCGGATGCTCAACGAAGAATTTTGGAGTTATGAGATATTGCAGAAATTCTCTTCAGCTGTTGCAGACCATTTTCTTCTTCGCGATCGCGTCCCAGCTCACGCGATCGCATAGAGCAATCTGGAGGGGGGCCCAATTCCTTAAATGCGATCGCATGGATTGATTCGCGATCGCGTAGCTCTGCCCTCTCCTCTTCCGCGATCGCAAGCCTTTCACGCGTTCGCATAGGCCTTTTTCCTGGAGCCTTTATTTTACTCTACGCGATCGCGGCCCCACTTTCGCGATCGCGATTCATTAAACACCTGGGCAGTTATAAATATTTCAAAACGAGGGTTAGCCATTTTTATCAAAATACAAGCTTGGGAGCTCGGATTTGGGGGAAATTTGAAGGTTTTTCGAGAGCAACTACTGGGTAACGATTCTCTACTCTCTTATGCTTAAAACCCACTAATCTAATCACGAATTCATCTTTAATTTCGGATTTTTGAATGAAAAATGGGAAACACTTCATAGACCAAACTATTCAGTTTTGAGTGGGTGTTTGACCTCCGATTTGGGAGATTTTTATATGGTTAGACTCGTGAGAGTACGAGGGTTCTGAAAATATAAAATTTATCCGACTCCGAGACGTTGGCCTGAGGGGCGTTTTGGTCATTTTACCTAATTTCGCATCTTAGCTTTGAATTAAATCGTAGAATCAGTCGCTTGAGATGTTATTTACGATACGTAATTGAATTGAATAGATTTGGGCCATTTGGAGTCGGATACTCGTGGCAAAAGTGTGGTTTCGAGTTGATTTTGGAGCCGGTTCGAGGTAAGTGGCTTGTCTAACCTTGTGTGGGGGACCTTTCCCCTTAGGATATGATATTTGCTAATTGAATGCCTTGTACGTGAGGTGACGAGCGCGTACTTGAGCTAATTGTTGAAAAATTCGGTCTTACTTTAAATATTTAGACTGAGTTTCTTTCTCACTTTCTTTATTCTACTTGCAATTATAGCCTGTGTTACTTTAGAAAAACATGCTTAGCTGACCTAAATTGCCTATTTGCTTAAGTTGCCTTGATTGTACTACGTGAAGCATGTTAGGCTAGAACTACTTGTTGCCTTGTATTTTTGTTCTCGAGTTCTGAATATCTTCTTGTTGTGGCTGCGTATTTACATTGGGACTACGGATGTGGGATTCCAGTAGCTCCCCCCCCCTTTGTTTGTTTACTTTGGGATTGCGGGTTAGATTCCCGATAAATCCCCCTGCCTATTTACTTTAGGACTGCAGGTTCGATTCCCGATCGATCCCCCTGCATATTTACTTTGGGACTGCGAGTTAGATTCCCCTGCCTATTTACTTTGGGACTGCGGGTTCGATTCCCGATAGATCCCCCTGCATATTTACTTTGGGACTGCGGGTTAGATTCCCGATAGATTCCCCTGCAGATTGATAGTTGGATTACGGGACGGTGTCCCAGGAGATCCTTCGGATATATACATATGATGGACTACAGGACGGTATTCCGGGAGATCCACTGGACAGTTGAGAAAAGGACTACAGGACGGTATTCTGGGAGATCCTCATTGTTACCATTGGTATTGAGCTGTACATATTCCGTGTTTACTCCGTTCCTTGTGTAATTGTTATTGCTTTGTTTAGCCTGTCTTATTCCATTGCCGTACTCATTATTACTGCTTATTTTATACTGTTGCAAAAAGATATATTATTATGATTAACCTCAGTAGGGCCCTGACCTTCCTCGTCACTACCCAACCGAGGTTAGGCTTGACACTTACTGAGTACCGCTGTGGTATACTCATGCCCCTTCTGCGCATGTTTTTCATGTGTAGATCCAGGTACTTCATCCCAGGCGTATCACTCTCGAGGCGGAGAGATCTAGCAGAGACTTCGAGGTACATCTGCCGCGTCCGCAGACCAGGAGTCTCTATCTTATTCTAGCTTTAGCAGTTAGCTTTTCCTTTCGTACTTTTGCTTTAGACATTCTAGAGTTAGAGCCGTGTATTACTTTCTGTTAGCTTGTGTTCCTTGTGAGTTTCCGGGTTTTGGGATGATATTGTAGACTTCCGCATTATTGGGTTGTATATGCCGAGCGGCATTTATATCCAGTTACCCTTCTAGTTTGTTTAGTTTAATTACTTGTTTCCGTAATTTATGTTATTTCCGCATTGTTAGGCTTACCTAGTCGTAGTGACTAGGTGCCATCACGACGTTCACGGAGGGCGAACTGGGGTCGTGACATTCCTTAGAATTAACTTAGGGGTATTTGGGTCATTTGTAGCCAAATACCTACTCTAGTATAAATAGCCCTTAAGGCTTTTATTTTAGGTAGACTTGATAATGATAAACTTGAAGACATGCAAGTCTCACAATTTATCCTTATCTTTTAATTAATGCATTTATGTTTATGTCTTTAATTTCTTTATTGCTTTCAATAGTGTTAAATTAATCTTAGTTGGTGAGAAATTAGTAGTGAATACTTAATTGCTTAATTACTTTATCCGGACTTTCAAGAGTTGCCAATCTCTTGAGGGTTTCGTAGCTTAGTGTTATAATTGATTGAGTTCATAGATGTAATTAGGCTTCATATCCTAATTGGTTCTTGTTCTTCCAATCAATTGTGGGTCTAGCTTTTATGTTCATAGCTTAGAGTTACAATTGATTGAGTTCATAGAGGTAATAGGTTTCTCATTCTAATTGGTTCTTGTTCTTCCAATCAATTGTAGGTGTAGCTCTTATTTTTAATTCCGCGTGTTTTGCTATATCCGTGTTTTCGATACGATTCCGTATCATCTTGGTATCAGAGCCGAGGTTTTGGATTGTTCTATCAATCCTTGGTCTTTGTTTTGATTATCAACAAATCTGAAAATCAATAATAATAATAATAAGAAGAAGAAAAATTACCAAAAAAGGAATGTTTACTGTTCATCCGATTGGCTTGTGACTAAAATAGAAATCGTATGCCTCGTTCATCACTTATTAGAGCCGAGGTTTTGAATTGTTCTGTCAATCCTTGGTCTTTGTTTTGTTTATTAACAAATCTGAAAATCAAAAAAAAAATAATACTGTAATAATAAGAAAACTTACCAAAAAAGGAATGTTTGCTGTTCATCCGATTGGTTTGTGACTAAAACACAAAATCGTATGCCTCGTTCATCACTTTTTCATTTAGAAACTTTGATTTCCTTGTTCTCGTTGTCGATTCTGGTTCTGAAATTTGTGATTTCTTCATTTTATGAGATTGAATTACTGATTTGAGCTCGGATTCGAAGATTTGAACCCAGAATTTACAATCAGCTGAACCGAAAAAAGAAGAATCTAGGGTTGGTTTTGATTATGAAAAAAAATTGGAGGTTCAAAATCAATTGGGTGTTCGAGATTTTTAGTTGGAAACACTGAAACGAAGTGAAATCTGAAGATTGAGCTCGATTTGAACTGATTTTCTAGGGTTTTGAGTTCGAAAATTGTCGAACGAGTTTTTTTTAGGAAGAAGACCGACTGGGCATTCAGTTTTGGTGGCTGTCCTTACAAATTAGGTACTGGGGTTTGATTATAGTGCTGTTGTGAAGCTTGTACTGAGACTTGAGATGGTTTTGAGCCGATTTGAAAGTGATTTGATTGGAAAATTTGGAGCTGATTTTGTGGAGAAAAAGAACTGAATTCTTTGAATTTGCGGGTGATATCTTCAAATCGATTTCTGGGAGTGATTCTTATGCTTTTGGAAATCGAATTCAAAGTGTGAGTCCATTTGATGAACATTTGAGCCAACTGATATTGAAGGTCGAAGTAGAAGAACACTAGTTTCAATTGAAGAACTTCGCGGACTGATTCGACTCAACTCGAGCAGCTGACAAATCGTCGCGACGAATCAGGTTTGATTCTTTGTGATTAGAACTGAGCTTCATCTCTAATTTCTGGGAATTTGAGTTGAATTATCTGAAGTGAAACTGAAAATTTCATCTCTATAATTCTGGAATTTTATTATTGTTGCGCGTTGGCTCAGTCTTGAGTTTGTTCGAATCTGTGTGTGCGATCCTTAGTCAAACTGAATGGAGAATTCATTTGAAAGGACTGAGATTAATTCCTTGAGATTGAACTGAAACTCTGTCTTTACATTCTTCTGATAATTGTTTATTGAGGTCGATATTTAGAGTGTTTGAGTTGATTGTGGGATTCAATTCTGATCCTTCTAGTAAATCTATCATAGTTTCTGCTGATAAGAACTGTGTTTGCTAGTGAAGCTTCATTTGGTTTCTGAACTTCTGAGACCCGAATTGAGACTGTGTGATCGAGTTTATTGCTCTTGTTGCTGGTAATTACGACTGAGTTTTTGATTCTCTAAGCTTGCATTTTCTGAGTGTTGAGCTACAATTTTCCTTGCTTCTGCTTGTGAGCTGAATTTGCAGTTCATAGTTCTTTGAGTGAATTCGTGGGCGCAAATCAAGGTTGCTATCGAATTGTGAACTGATAATCGTCTTCTTCCTATTAATGAAGTAGTGACTACCAATTGAGATTCTTATTGAATGTGATTGAGCTGAAGTCTGTCGTAGTTGCTGCAAGTTTGAAAATCCATCTTTGTGTTACGATTTGAGATTGATTACTTGAATTGAGAACTGAAGATTTCTTCTTGTTAGTTGCTGTTAGAAGAGTCCTAATTTCAGATTATTTAGCTATAGCGTGCTGTCCAGTTTCTGCAATAATTCTGCAGTGTTTTAGCTTGCCTTTTGATAAATTTTGAGTAGCATTTTTAAGTGTTCTGCAAAACCGAGCCACAAAATTTCTGCGCTGTTTGCTCCTCTGTTATTTGCTAAAAATCTGCAGAATTTTGGACTGTTGAACCTCATAAGTTGCACAGTTGAGCTGAAAACTTCTGCAACTTGTCTGCACTTCAGAGCTGCTGAAACTGCAAAATAGGACTGCTGCACCTTCTTTTGCATTGTTTGAGCTGATTTGGGGACTTCACTTAGTCAAATTGTTGAAGCAGTTGGCTGAGAAACATCAGGGAGTTGAGAATAATCTGGAAGGGATTCTGCAAAGTTCAAAGCTGATTGTCTGCACAGTTTCCGCTTCTTTGTCTGAAATTGCTGAACTTCTTTGCCTGGACTGGAACCCGAGTGCATTGAGGACCTATCAGTGTTTGCATAGCTGAGGCTACAATAGTTTGTGAAGACTGGAAACTAAGTTGGATTGAATTAGTTTGCGAGCATGAACTGAAAGTACCGCACTAACAATTGAGGCTTGGATCGCAAGGTTGAATCTTTTACCGAATGGTGAAGAACACTGCTCAGAAGAACCCCAACAGCCTGCAGTTTTGCCAGCATTTGTGAATTTGTCCAGAGTTATAGATTTGGCCATTCTTTGCAAATCTGACCAGTTTTACAAAAAAAATAGCCAATTTTGCGAATATGACCAAAATTTTGAAAAGTGTCTAGTTTTGTGTTCCTTTTCTTTTCTTTTCCACTTTGTATTAAACTCAACTCTAAGCTAGATTAACTTGATATTAGTTCATATTGAGTTTATTTCTAGTTTCTTTGTGTGCTTTGTCTATTTCGTGCCATTTCTTTCGTGCTTTTCTCTTTATTTTCGTTGTGAACTGTTTGGCTCAAGTCCGTTTGCTTTTTAATAGTCCGTCCTTGTGAATACACAACTTTCACGCCACCCCGAAGACGGTTGTAACTTGTTGTGAAACCTTGGGACTTAGGTTTGCATGCGATTTTGACATTGACTACTTGAGCTGAAAAAGGCAAGAGTGAATAAGACTTTGATCGCGCAAAAGCCAATTGGTGCAATGTGTGATACACGAGGGTTGAGCGACATCAAGTGAGTTGGTGAGGACTTTTACTACTAACCTATTTTCTCGTTTTGTAGGTATCATGGAGTACGGACAAACTTCTAGTCTTAATTGTGAACCAAGGAGTGAGACTCCGATGCATGAAGTTGTTTCTATGCTTTATGACATAAGTGAGAAGGTTACCAATATTACCATATGGTAACACCAAACGGATGCAAGGTTGAATTCCTTGATAGCTGAATCTCACTTGAGGCATCAAGGAAGAGAGAGTAGTATGATGCTTACTAATTTCTCTACTACACCCCCTTCTTCACAAGTGCGACAAATGCTTCAAAGGAAAATTTTGCAACACAACCAACCTAACCAAAAGGACATTATTTTCCTCCACCAAATTACCGACCACCTGCCCACTACCAACCTCCAATCACACATCAACCACTACATGTACCTCAACTACAACCTTATCAAACCCCAGCCCTACTGGTGCCACAACCACAACTCTACCAAGTTGTTTTCCACCACCCCTAGTGTACTACCCACAAGCACACCAACCACCATTTAGACCTCAAGTTCCACTATGGAGGGACAATCTCCCTCCCCCACCACTCATACCACTTCAAGAGCCTCGGTTGATGAACAATCCACTTTTTCAATATTATCAAGAGGACACCTTGAATGAGTTGGACAACATCCAACAAGTTTTCAATTACGAATATAGGAGCGATGAAGTGAACCAAAGGGGAAGAGGCCAAATGAGTTTGAGTACATCCTTGAAAAATTCAAAAAAAAAAGTAAGGATGAGAGACAAAAGATAGAGAGAAGTGAGGGAGAGAAAAGTGGCAACTCTAGAGTGGAAAAAGGAGAGAATGTGTGGAGTGAAGTGAGTGAGTTGTCACAAGAAAAGAGTGAAAAGTTTAAAAAGAAAATGAGAGAAAAGAAAGAGGGAAAACAACGAGAGAGTGTGGTTTTTCTTATTCTAATGTTACTCACCGTTCTTCTTTCTCTAATTGTTTTGTAACTTGTGTAGGGACTTTTGAAGACGAACCATCAATTGAAGTTCAATGCACTTTGAAGAGCTTGGAAGAAGATCGAACTACCTTTTCAAGAGGACTTATGAGAATTCAATGAGAAAGTGCAAGGTAAAGAGAATACTTTAGATGAGCTTCAAGGTAAAATAGCTTATCCTTCTACTCTTGCTAGTTTGGTTGATTGTGGTGACACTTTGAGTTTGAAAGACAACTATGACATTGATGAGTTTGATGCCTCTTTATCTTGCAGTGAGAATAATAGTTATGGCTTGCAACTAGCTAGGAATTCTTTTGCATTACTGGATGATTCCAGTTCTTTGATAAATTACTCCTTAGCTAGTGATGTGTGTGATGTTGAATCTTATGATACCCCACCTTGTGTTGATGATTCTTTTGATTCTATTTTCATTCTTTTGGCAAAAAAAGTCAATTTTTATGGTGAAATGAGCAAATGTGAGTGTGGAGATGCCTTGTTGGAGAGTGAACAATTTACTTATAATGACATAAATATAAAAGAAGAAAACTTTCATTTGTATTCCAATGAGTTGACTTCTCTTGTATTTGATCTTGATGACTCTTATGAATATTTATGTGATGATTTAGTTGAGTGTGAAAAGGAAAGTAAAGTTTTTGATGCTAGCACTAATATTAATTGCTTTACTTCTCTTATTCCTACTTTTGAAAGAACATTTTGGAATTTGCTAATGCTTCTATGAGAAAAGGCAAGAATGTTTCTTTTGGTGTTTTGAGGGACCATTTTGAGCAAGAAGAACCTAACTTTATTGATTATTTTGTGAAGGTTCAACAAGAGAAAGTTGCTAAAGGTAAGAAATTATCCGGCAGATGACTTAGAGTTGGTGGCAGTTGTATTTGCACTCAAACTTTGGCGGCATTATTTATTTGGAGACAAATGCGAGATCTATACCGATCACAAGGGCCTCCGGTATATCTTCCAACAAAAAGGCTAACGGGGTGGCTGATACATTGAGCGTCTATGGGTAGTTTGGCTCGGTGTCTTACTTGCCAACATGTAAAGGCCGAACATCAATAACCTGCGGGGGTTGTACAACAACTTGAGATTCCAGAATGGAAGTGGGAACGAATTACCACTGACTTTATGAGCAGTTTGTCACGACCCAAACCGATGGACCGCGATGGGCACCCGGTACCTTACTCAACCGAGTACCTACATAACGTATCTTTCGTATCATACTACCATAGGTAATTGAGCCAGAGAGGCCGTCGTGAGATAAATAGAATAAAACATTGGAAAAATACTCGACATTGGACGATCGTACATGTAATCCAAACTTATACATTTGACGTACGGGTCTATAAGGCTGGTATGATCTTTTATATACTCAAAACATACGCCGACAAGGCCATACGAGTATCCGTATACATGACATCTATCTACAAGCCTCTAGGAATACATGACAGGGTCCCGCCATACCAATCAATAAATGGAGTGCACCAACACCTTTCGCTGAGCTGATAGCTTACTTGGAGGGCTCATAACCTGTCTGTCGGGACCTGCGGGCATGAAACGTAGCATCCCAAGGCAAAATGGACATCAGTAAAAATAATTTACCGAGTATGTAAGGAATGAAAATCAGTAAATAATAGACATTAGAGAAACATGGAGTTAGGTGATCATTATTCTTAGCCTACTTGGAGGACTCTCATCCTGTCCATCGAGACCTGCGGGCATGAGACGTAACGCCCCCAAGCAAAAGGGACGTCAATACGAATAATGTACCGAGTATGTAAGGCACATAAAGTATACAGAAGACATGGAAGAAACATTGAGTAAATGACTTAACATGTAAGTCTGGATAACTCTGTAAATCATGAAATACTTATTGTGTCATGCATATGCGTACGAATGTCGTGTCATGCATATGTACATGTGTTCATAACATCATTAAGCCTCTTAGGACATCCCATCATATGATCTTGGTCACTGTGGGCAAAATCATCAATGTATACCAACTGATCAGGTGGTGTGCTTATATAACGCAGTAACCTTTTCCCATATCCCATATGTATATAATATACATATATACGCGTATATAAAGCCATCTGGTCATGGGTATTGCACATGTATAAATGAATGCAATGCATGAGAAAGTACGTCAATAAAATCTTTCGGAACGTCATAAGACCATTATGCCTCTGATTAATATCATGAAATAAACCTTATCAACTTACATATTTTCTCGATGCAACGTAAGCACTAGTGGCAAGGTATTACATAAGAAGTTTCAAGTTATCAGTGGTATATTGTAGATCAATATTGAAGTGAATCGAGAATGGATGGATAAAACTTACAAAGTATGAAATGAGATTAGGTTGTCATTCTCAAGATGAACAGTAATGAGGAAGCATTAAAAGACTTAGGCTAATACATATAGGATAAGCAACATGAGTAAGTTTGGTAACAGCTCGATAATAATAAAACAAAGGTGAGAGTTATGGTATAGTATGACCTACCTAGATGCAGTAACGTCATACGGATGAATAACTAGGTTTATGAAATGAGATATAACAATATTCATAAGTTCAACAAAGTACCGAGCGAAGAACTTCCGTATACTAATGGATGTCCAGAGGGACATCTTATTAAGCTTTGTATATGTTTATCAAGTGAGGCCTAGAGGTTGGCTAAACTGGAGGAAAAAAGAAGAGAAGAGTCGCATAGGCGCATTTACAAGGTCAGAGTCGTACTGGCTGCATGATAGAAGGTAGCAACAGTTACAAGATTGGAAGGATTCCGGCCATAAGTCATGGTGTGAGAAAGAGGCCTAAAAAGGGAATGCCCTGGCGTTTGGAATTCATTCAAAGAACAATTGCCTGGATGGCAAGAGGAGTACTAAAGTATTTGGGAGACATAAGTTATGAAAATGATAAGTGCATCAGTCAACATTCGAGGATGAATGTTCCAAAGGGGGAAATGATTTTACACCCCATGTTTTCGTACGTAAAGTACGCCTTAAGGAAGTTGATGAAAGCTTGGAAATGAGATAATACATCCCATATTTTCATACATTAAAGTTTCGTCGTAAGTTAATCGGCGTAAGTTCGGGAATGAGATTACTTTGGGATTATAAGTATTACTTTGAGAGGGTAAGCAAATCGAAGAAAATAAATTTCGTCGAAGTTTGATATTTTGAGATAAAATACGGCCCGGCTAAAATATCCGGCATTTATGGACTAGTGCCGTACAAGGTACCACTTGACTGATAGTAAGGTGTGTTAAACGTAAGTAGTATTTTAAGTAATTTGAGATAATTCTTAATTATATGGATAATTGATAAGTGGATAAGGATATTTTGGGGCTGCCACATGGCATTAAGCAAAGCCAAGTGGCACAAATTCGTATGATGAGTCATAAGGCATGAGATGCCTTGTCTACACGTGTAAAACTCTAGGATAAGTACCCTTGCTTCCTTTATTGATATCATAACTTGGAAAAAATGAATAAAGTTATGGCATGCGCAAATATAGACCAGCAACGTTAAGGCATCTTTAAAATGTCAAGTTGAGCTTTAACAAATTTCATACAAGGTCCGATCATGCGTGAGATGCAATTCTAAGAAAGCGCGGTACAATCTTTCTCAAGAATATTATGCGGATTTTTCCCTACTTCGATCCGCCGTTATGTGTTGAGGGATTGTCAAGAAAATTGGCTCAGGTATGTTAAGGGTATCCCTTCTTTCCTTTTGGCATGATCCATACAGTACTAACAAAACGAGCAAATGCACAACTTTCATAAATGCTCTATTAGTAGAAATACTAGATATGCTTATGTTCTTGATTCGCCATGTGTCATATTATTCTATCATCTGTACATGGGTCTCAGAAAATACATAAGTTGGTAAAGTTTATTTCGTGATATTAATCAGAGGCATAATGGTCTTATGACGTACTAAGAGGTTTTATTATGGGTTATGGGAAAAGGTTACGACGTACTATGAGATTTTATGATGCACCACCACTTGATCAGCTGGTATACGTGGATGATTTGCCCACAGTGGCCGAGATGATATGATGGGATGTGCTCACAGGCTTGATGATGTTATGAACGCATATACCCATGCATGGTATGGCATTTATACGCATATGTATGACATTTTAAATTAAAGGATTCACAGAGCTATTCAAACTTTCATGTCGAGTCTTTTACTTCATGTTTCTATCATGTCTATTGTTTACTGATTTTTATTCCTTACATACTCGGTACATTATTTGTACTGACGTCCCTTTTGCCTGGGTACGCAGCGTTTCATGCCCGCAGGTCCTGATATACAGGTCGAGAGTCCTCCAAGTAGGCTATCAGCTCAGCAAGATGTTTGTGCGCTCCATTTGCTCCAGAGTTGCTTATTTGCTCCCGAACCTTATGATATTATGTATTCTTAGAGGCTTGTAGACAGATGTCATGTATAGGGATTCTTGTATAGCCTTGTCAGTCTATGTTTTGATTATATAAATGATCATGCCGGCCTTATAAGCTCGTACGTCATATGTATAAATTTGGATTACATGTTGGGTTGTCCAATGTCGAGTATTTCCCCATGTTTTATTCTACTTATCTCACGATAGCCTCTTTGGCTCATTTACCTATGATAGTACGATACGAAAGATACGCTACATAGGTACTCAGTTGAGTAAGGTACTGGGTGCCCGTTGCGGCCCATCGGGTTACCTTGTATGACACTAGTCCATAAATATCGGGTATTTTAGCTCGGCCAGTATTTTGTCCCAACATGTTAAATTTTTGATGAAATTTCATTTTCTTTGATTTGTTTACCCTCTCACCTTTATGAATTTACTCATCGCTTGTTTGTAATAGCATAATGCTTATAATCTCAAAATAATCCCATTGGAACTTACGTCGATAGCATACGATGAAATTTTAACATGCGGGATGTACCATCTCATTTTCAAGCTGCTATCAATTTGCTTATGGCGTACATTCACGTACGAAAACATGGGGTGTAACATCATTCCCCCCTTTGGAACATTCGTCCTCGAATGTTGACTAATGCACTTATCATTTTCATAACTTATGTCTTCCGAATACTTTAATATTCTCCTTGCCATTTAGGCAATTGTTCTTTAAATAAATCCAAAGGGGGAATTCCCCCCTTTAGGCCTTTTTATCACACCACGGTCTGTGGTTGGAATTCTTCCAATCTCGTAACTCTTCCTAGCTTTGCCATGCAGCCTGTAGGACTTTTTCCTTGCATGTGCTCCTATGCGACTCTTCCCTTCAGCTTTTAGCCAATCTTTAGGCCTCACTTTGGAAACATATATAGAACTTGATAATATGTCCCTCTGGGCATCTATAGGTGTATTGAAGTTCTTTGGTCGGCATTTTGTCGAACTTACGAATATTGCCA